ATGCTCATGATAATGATGATGAACAAATGATCATTAGAATAAAGAGTTAACTGACCAAGGAATTTTAAATTACAACAAGATATTATGAGAGGTGCATTAAAACCACATCTATTTACATTAGTTGTAAAGACACCACCAACAACAACAACAAAAACTTCATCCCACTAAGTGGGGTCGGCTGCATGAATTCTTTTTCTCCATTGCGTCCTATTTAGTTACATATTTTCATTTAATTCTAATAAATTAAGATCATTTTTTATACAATATGCCCAAGTCTTCCCAGGTCTACCTATGTCTTTCTTAACATAAGTCGAATATGAAACATAAACATTTACTCTTCTAATCACTCTTCTAATCAGATTATCAGATGGTTGACGTTTAATGTGACCAAACCATCTAAGACGACTCTAATTTTGTCGGTCACTGGAGCTACACCGACCCTATCAAGGAAATATTCATTACGCATTTTGCCTCTAAGTATAAAGCCACTCATCCACCTAATCATTCTCATATCAGCAATACTTAACTTAATTTTATGCTTCTCTTTTAACGACCAACATTCAGCGCCATAGAACATTGCAGGTCTCACCACCATCTTATAAAATTTTCCTTTCAGTCTCAGTGGTACTTTTCTATCACGCAATAGGCCCGAAGCATTCCTCCACTTCAACCAACAAACTTGAATTATACTAATAACATCCCTATCAATATCACCATCACTTTGAACAATAGACCAGAGATATCAAAAGCATTCACACCTTCTAATAATTTGATCAACCATAGTTACTCACCATCTATATCACATCGCTTTGAACAAAAATTACATTCTGTGTATTCAGTTTTACTTCCACTCAAATGTAGGCCTTTAGACTCCAATTTAGACTTCCATAATTCAAGTTTTTTCTGGGCTTTTTCTCTCATCTTATCCACGAGAAGGATATCATCAGTAAAAATCATACACCAAAGTACATCCTCCTGCAAGTGTCCAGTAAGACCATCCATAACTAAAGCAAAAAGATATCGACTTAAAGCCGATCCCTAATGTAAAACAATAGAAAAAGGGAATATTTGGTCAATCCTCCCTCTATTCGAACACAAGTAACAACTACTGTATAGATATCTTTACTGACTTGAATATAATTCATATCAACACCTTTCTTTTCAAAAACTCTCCAAATGATATTTTTTGGAACCTTATCATAAAATTTTTCTAAATTAACAAAAATCATATGTAGATCCTCCTTATTATCTATGAACTTCTCCATCAAACCTCTCAATAAATGTATAGCTTCCATAGTAAATCTGCCCGACATAAATCCAAATTGATTGAGAAATCTTTGTAATACATCTCAACCTATGTTCAATTACCATCTCCCATGATTTCAAAGTATGACACATCAATTTAATTCATCTATAATTTGCACACTCTTGTGCATCCCCTTTATTCTTAAAAATGAGACCAAAAACTCTTCCTCCACTCAGACATCTTTTAGTTTTTAAAATAATATTAAAAAGTTTAGTAAGCCAAGAAACTCCCAAATCTCCTAAATATTTCCACACTTCAATTGAGATAACATCAGGTCCTACAAACTTTACACTCTTAGTTTTCTTTAAAGACTCCTCAACTTCTTTTTTACTAATGAGACGGTAAAACTTAAAAATTTTATTATTATTAATGAAATTAAGATCACTAAGATCGATCATACTTTTCAAAACTTCATTAAAAAGTTTATCAAATAACTCACCCACCTATTTTGAGTATCTTTTTCTAAGAAAATCACTTTTTGATTTTCATCTTTATTACACTTTAGTTGAGTTAAATTTTTAAATTAGTTGTAAAGACAGCTATAAACAAAAATCAAAGAAGCATTTACATATGTAATTTGTAGATGAAAATTATAAGACCTGAAACCTCTAATAGAATTACTGAAAGAATCAAATGAATGACTTAAAAATTATGAAGTTGAGGGGCTATAAATTAATGGAACAAATCCCACGCATATATGGTCAATTCTAATGACAAAAATAATAATAATAATAAATAGTATTTTAAATTTATTACGGAATAAGAGAAGTAAAATCCATATTATTAAAACATTAAGTGAAACAAAAAATGTAAGACTATATTTTAAACTTGTCATAAAAAAATGAGGATAAAATTAAAATCTACTTCTAAATTTAAAAGCCATATATTTAAACGCAACACAATGCAAAAATATATATCATGGAGACTCAAAAATTAATTTTGATCAAACTATAAATAAAATCGACTATATTATATGGATAAAGTTTTGGGACAAGATGAAGTGCTTGATAGCTAAGTTGGATTTGTAAAAAAATATACATAAAATAAATAAATAAATATGGTGGGAACAACTCCTATTTATAGTGGAAAATAAACTCTCAAGTAATATGCATATGTACCATGTAAGGTAGAGAATCAATAATACATGATCAATTAAATTATTGGTGACAGATTATAGTAACATGCATATGTACCATGTAAGGTAGAGATTCGATAATACATGATCAATTAGATTATTGGGAATGGATTAGAAAGGAAAAGAAAAGTATGTAGACCATCATGACTAAGAGCAAAAAGATATGCACAACATAGGGTAAGCATCTCATGTAGAAATCAATAAGAATGATGATGACGTCAACTTATAGCAAGGATAAGGCCTAAAATGATAATGATAATTAATATTGGGATGATAACCATTATGTACATACATATATAACCATTACAAAAAGGATTTAAAAGCTACAATCCTTGGTCCATTTCACATAGGAGGATGAAATAAAAAGAAGGCAAAATCTGTTGGGCTAACTTGAACCTCTAAGCATAAATATTTACTTGAGACAACTTCACGGCATGTCTTCCAAGGTAACTTGGATCTATAGGCTAAACAAAGCTTCAAATTAGGAGTATAAACATTATCAATGAAGTGTAATAATTCTAAAACCTCAAGTTTTTGACTTTGATGAATGAACCATGGATATGCCATTGGTGACTAGTGTTTTTTATTTAAGACTAGTTCTTCAAAACCAGTTTTATCTAAAGATTTATTTCCTTATGTTTTTTATCTTCTTCTATATGTTGAAAACCCTAACAGTATCCTGCAAGGATTATTGTCTTAATAAAGCACCAAAGCACAAAATATTAAAAAGCGACATTAATCAAAATTTGTAAAAAAAAGAAAACTAAGCTAAGCCAAAGTCTAACAACAACAACAACAAAACCTTTATCCCAATAAGTGGGGTCGGCTACATGAATCATTTTTCTCCATTGCAATATTTTCATTTAATTCTAATAAATTAAGATCATTTTTTATATAATATGCCAAAGTCTTCCAAGGCCTATCTCTGCTTTTATTAACGTAAGTCGGATCTAAAACATCTACTCTTCTAATCAGATCATCAGATGGTCGACGTTAAATGTGACCAAACCATCTAAGACGACTCTCTCTAGTTTTGCCAGTCACAGGAGCCACACCAACCCTATCACGGATATATTCATTTCGCATTTTGTCTCTAAGTGTAAAGCCACTCATCCACCAAATCATTCTCATCTCAGCAACACTTAGTTTTATGCACCTTTTAATGGCCAACATTCAACTCCATAGAGCATTGTAGGTCTCACCGTCATCTTATAAAATTTTTCCTTTCAGTCAGAATGGTACTTTTCTATCACACAATAGGCTCAAAGCATTCCTCCACTTCAACCAACAAACTTGAATTCTACTAATAACATCCCCATCAATATCACCATCACTTTGAACAATAGACTCGAGATATATAAAACGTTCACACCTTTTAATAATTTGATCACTCATAGTTACATGTTTGTCACTAGAGATACTACTATTGAAATTACATTCCATGTATTCAGTTTTAGTTATACTCAAATTTAGTTAATTCAGTTTTAGTTATACTCAAATGAAGGCCTTTAGACTCCAAGTTAAACCTTCATAATTCAAGTTTTTCCTAAGCTTTTTCTCTCGTCTTATCCACGAGAAGGATATCATCAGCAAAAAACAAACACCAAGATACAGCCTCCCGTAAATGTCCAGTAAGACCATCCATAACTAAAGCAAAAAAGATATGCGTTTAAAACTGATCTTTGCTGTAAACCAACGAAAATAGGAAAATATTTAGTCAATGCTCCTGTTTGAACACAAGTAACAGCTTTTGTATACATATCTTTAATGACTCGAATATAATTCATATCAACACCTCTCTTCTCAAGAACTCTCCAAAGGATATCTCTTGGAACCTTATCATAAGCCACAATCTAACAACTAGAGAAAAAATTAATTTCATAGAAAAATATAAAATGTTGCAGGAGTTCTTCATCAAACATGAATTCTATAAAGAGTTCCAGATGGAATCCATTTAAAACACAATACTGTAACAATGACAACAAGTTTTTATCCCACTAAGCCGTTTGGCTACATGAATCCATTCTCCATTTTGTACTATTGAGTGTCATATTTTCATTTAATTTTAATAAATTAAGATCATTTTTTTCTACAATATGGCCAAGTTTTTTTAGACCTACCTCTACTTTTCTTAACATAAGTCAAATTTAAAACATCTACTCTCCTACCGGGGTCATCATATTATTGATGTTTAATGTGACCAAACCATGTTAGACCGCTCTCTCTAATCATGTTGCCATTGAAGCTACAACCCTTTCACGAATATATTCATTTTACATTTTGTCTCTTAGTGTAAAACCACTCATCGACCTGAGCATTCTCATCTCAACAACATTAAATTTTATGCTTTTCTTTTACATGTCAACATTCTGCGCCATAAAGCATTGCAAGTCTCACAAACCATTTAAAACACAATAAACAAGCAAAAGTTGATGGTGAATTAAATTCAACCAGTAAAAAAAATGGTAAACTGTTAATAACGAACCGGAAAAAAAAATGCTGAAAGGTTCATGCAATCATTTTAGCACTTGGATACCCGCAGAATGATAGAAAGCAAACCTGAACAGAAGAAAAAGTATTTGCAGTCTTAGAACTTGCCAGCCCTTGAACAGAAGAAAGAATAAGTCCCTGGGTTAAACTTGAGTTAGGAAGCAAGTGTAGAAAATTTAAATTATTTCTACCTTCTTCATTCCCAGCATTAATGGCAGTTGACATTATTGATTCATCAACCAAGTCAGACTCAGTCTGTCTGCTACCACATTGGTTCATGACTTCCATTTGAGGAGTTTGATTCTCAGCATTCATGGGCAGCACACTTGCCAATCCAGGAAGAGTTGATGATTCTACAGATGATCCGCCATGCTTAATAGGTCTCATATCTTTACTCATCCCAGATTGGAAAGTCAAGGCTTCATCCGACAATGTAACATTTCCCAAACTTCCGCTTGAAATATTTGATGCAACTTCATGACAATATTCTTCTGATTCAATAGATTCACCCGTAGGCGCTTTAAGCAATTCGACGTTAGTCCCATTAGAAGGGTGTGAAGAATTAAGTATAATGGTTCCAAATTCAGAGCCATTACCCAAATATTTACTTGTTTCTTTAAAATTTTCAATCCGGAATCCAGTTTCTAGTAGAGGAAGGTTATCGAAAGATTCCTCCAACTGACTGGTTTTAGCCTTCACCAACCAACTATGCTTCAACTCTTGCTCTTTGCTCCGAATATCCAGCTGCATGGACAACAGTTTTGCCTTCTGCTGTTTAAGGTGCTGACAGAACCTGCCCATTTTAGAAGAAAACTCTTGGGTTAACAAGTTTATCTTGCCATTTATAACAGTCAAGTCAACGTGTATTGAGCGAACAAATTTCAAATCAAGAGCGTGTGCCCCTTCCAATTGCACTCTCTCCTCAAACATTTGTTTTTCAAAATGTAATACTTCAGCTTGGTGCTTGTGGGAGAGATCTTCTGCTCTCTTTATAGAAACTTTCTCAATAACATCAATTAGATTTTTCAAAAGTTCATCTTTAGCAAATTCACCGTTCAGCTGAGACCCTAAAGGGGTTCCCTTGTTCAGATGGCCCTGCTTTGGTGTGATTATATTTTCAGAAAATTTGAGATCAGCAGGAGCACCCCCAGTCATAATTAAACCTGAAGTTTCAGAAACTGTTAGTTCGGTATCATTCCCAGGTTGAGATTTTCTTCCAGAGTATACTTTTTTCAAACCAGATGATTGATTTTCAAGAGTAACTCCTACCGAGTTATCTAGTTCTCTTGCCGGACAAGAAAATTTTTCTTTCAGAATCCGCAATCTTGAGTAGACAGAATACACTTCCTCTGCAGTACATTCATATTTCAAATGATTTCTAGCAATTGCAAGAGATTCAATTCGATCCAACCTGTGCCTTGACATAGACGCAGCTCGCCAACACTGAAAATTTTAAAAAACAAGAATTCTAGATCAAGGAGAAAGAAGACAGAATATTACATTAACAGAGAAGCAGACATATATAAACAGGCTTTAAGTAGAGAAACATGATTGAAGTGCACGGAAGAAAAAAAAAAAAACATTAACAGCAGCATAGATACCCTGATGTTTGGCCTTTGGCCAATATAGGCGTCTTATATAAATATGGATTCTCTCACAATTAGCCCACCTCATAAATAACTTCAGCTGTAACTAGAGTATTATTGTTAAAAGGGGTTTACAGTACTAAACAGCCTTCATCTATAAGAAATTCTTTCCTGTGTTAATTTAACCTTCTTGCAAAACCGGGGTCAAAAAGCCAAACTTATTCGCTACTTAACTAAAAACAGAAAAGTCAGAAGCCTCTTTTACTTATAATTTCCGTTGCATAGATCTGTTAATGTCTTAGAAGTTACAATCCATTGACAAACTTTACAAATAAATCACTGAGTACATCACAAAAATCCTTACAACAAATATTATTAAATACTGTGGCATAAATAAATAAATAAATATTATAAATAAACCTACAAAACAAGCTTTGCTTACTTCTCTGCATTTAGTTGACAATAACATGCTTTTAAAACATAAAAGAAGAGAGAGCTTAGGGTGGCACATCACTTTTCAAAATTACAATAAAAACACTAGAAAAAAAAAAACACAAACTCGAGAAGAAAAGAATCGCACAACCTCCCAAAAACAAATCTCAATACTATATGAACCAAAAAACTTTTGTAGAAGCACACAAGGTTTAATGTTTAAAATTACACAATTGGGCATGAGGTGTTTTTTGTTCATATAGCAAGACTTACGACAGGAGGCATTTTGAAGCATAAGCCTCAAATTAACAACTTGTGCAAAGAGATAAATATTGTAATAAGTTTAAACTATGTAAAAAAGAAGTAATATATTAACATCCTTAATATATTAAAAAGTAATAAATTATTCAAAATAAGAAGCAACATGCTAACATTAAATCATAAAATAAGAATGGTGTTGACCTCATTTTGAGGTCATTTCTCTTCTACTTAGATTATAGGATCTAGCTCTAAGGCTTCCTATCGACTATCTTAGAGGACTAGAGTTGGGACCTACCCCTTTTGAGAAATTCGAACCACTTCCCGATTCTCTTGTTGTGTCTCGCCTGGGTGGTCTCAAACCATCATCATTTGGTCGAGCGATTAAGGACCAACATGTGAAAAACCAAAGAGAGTTCCCAATAGAATCTCAAGCCCTAGAAAAACCTCTTTAAGAATTTATCAACGCAGTCATACACACAGGGTGAAAAATATGAACTTGTCCAAACGACCCTCGATGACAAAATGAACTGCGCTGACGCGTCCAGGACATCAATTTCAGCTAGAGAGGACATCTATATTGTCATGATTCCGCACATGAGCAAAGCACATGCAAATCAATGAATTCGTCCGAAGGACCTCAGATAATGAAACGGACTGCGCCGACAAGTCCGGAGCGTCAAGAGAGATACCCACTTTGCTAAGGTCCCGAGCATGAATAAATCACACGTTAATTAATATAATTAAATAATATAATACAATAAAATAAAACAAAATAATAAAAATAAAAATAAAAATAAATCCTTGTTCTAAACCTATTTGACCTAACTCACGCACCCGGTTCAGCCTCCCCAATCGAACTGAGCCCGATCCCTCTTCTCCTAGTTCGGTCCAACCGCACGATCGCCTTCTCCTCTCTCGCGATCGGCCGCACCCGAGCAGAACCCTAGCTCACGCATCTCCTGGATGATAATGATAATATTCCTTTTCCGCGTGAACCGCTCGACCGAACGGCTCTCCAGTCACGAGCTGCCCCCTGTCCAACCCTTCCTATCCCCTACGCCGCATTTCCTCCTACCTAAATGCGATCTTTCCTCTCCCGATACCTCAATACCTCATTCGACCATCTCACCACCTCATTCGACCATCTCACCGTGGTAGGTAAGACATTTTTCTCTCCCTCGCCTATAGCAAAAAAACCTATTTGAGGGGTTCTCGGTTGGCCAAAAATTAAAAAGGAGGGTGGAGGTGCTGCTAAAATTTTGGCTTGCGTAAATTTCCTGTTCGTTGCTTGGCAATCCTTCTGGGCTGCTCCGTATTCTTGCTTGTCGGCTCGATATTCTTGCTTGGTTGTGTGTTTGACTACCGAGCATGGTTGAAATTTGGGGTAAGGAAGAATTGCTATCAAAATTTTGTCCTGTTCGACACTCTTGTTGGCATTCTTACTTGGGGGCTCTCTATTCTTGTTGGTTTGCTGGGCATTCTTGTTAGGTTGCTCGATACTCTTGCTAGACTGCGTGTTTGACTAAGGTATAAGTGTTTTAATTGTGGTTTTGCTATTGCCCCTGAATGTCTTTCAGTTTGATGGCTTAGAGAATGTACATTAGGGAAGTGCATGTTCATGAATGTGTTATTCTCGTTCCATTAAATCCTAGGCATGATTTTGTAGCATGAATATTGATCCATCCCATCAAAGTTGTGCTGTTCTTGAAGAATTTTGGGACTGCAAAAGAAAAATTACATATTTACATGTTTTTTTTTTTATATCCCAAAGGAAACAAAACAGAGAAGGAAGAAAATGTCTTATTTTTTTAGTGTTCTAAATGACCACCTTATGTTACTTGATTCTAAAGCAAAGAAGGCTCTTACCTGGCTTGCTAACCTTTTCACGAATCAACTACTAAAGATGGAAAATGTTGGCATAACATCTCCATATGTAGACAATTCAACATTTTTTTGGCAAACAATCTTATTCTTACCATGCGATATTTCTAGCATTTGGTCTATTTGCAAAATCTGAAACATTTGGGTGGCGTATTTGCAATATCTGAAATATTTGGGCGGCGTATTCGCAAAATTTGAAACATTTAGGTGACGTATTTGCAAATTCTAAAACATTTGGGTGGCATATTTGCAAAATCTGAGAACTTAGGGTTGTCTATTTGCAAAATCTGAGACCTTAGGGTTGTCTATTTGCAAAATCTGAGAACTTAGGGTGGTATATTTGCAAAATTTGAGAACTTAGGGTGGTCTATTTGCAAAATCTGAAAAACTTAGGGTGGTATATTTGCAAAATCTGAAAACTTTGGGTTGTTTGTTTGCAAAATCTGAAAACGTTGCATATTTTAGCATAGGCTTGAGCCAGGCTTCGATTTTGCTTGCTCTATGCTTTTACAAAATGTGGAAAGGTGGGGGCCGAATGGAGGGGCAGCCAGACTTGCTTGATTTTTTCATTGAGAGGAAATTATTTATGTAGCTTGTCAAGCAACTATACGCATCTGTAGCATTCAATTTCAGTCATTGGGTGGATGGAATGTAGAAAAAGCGAAAGGAATGGAATAATTTTATGTTTTCTAACATAAAGTTTGATGGCCTATCAAGTTTATTACTGTTCACATAACTTCTGTTTTTTTTTTTTTTTTTTTTTTTTTTTTTTTTTTTTTTTTTTTTTTTTGTGATTTTGTAGCTAGTATGTAAAAGTGTACTATTTCCCACTTGTCTGAACTGCTGCTAGCTTTTCTAGCCTTGCAAGATTGTTGCACATGAGGGTATTTACATAGATACCACTCAAATTCTTATGCATTTACATAACTAGCACCCAAGACAAAATGCAGGAGTGCAATTTGCCTTGCTGCTTATGAATATCTTTGGCTATCTCTTGTATGCTTATATGTGTGAAATCTAAAAAACGTGTGAGCCGTTCCTTTTGTATACATATAAGCTTGGGATTCAAGTTAGTTGCATCTTGAAGCTCTCTTTAGTAATGTTTGGGCCACATTTTGAAGCTTTATTTGTTAAAGTTTAAATTGCATTTTGAAGCCTTATTCGTTAGCTTGACGCTTTATTCGTTAATGTTTAAGTTACATTTTGAGACTTTATTTGTTAAGGCTTAAGTTGCATTTTGAAGTTTTATTCGTCATTTTGAAGCTTTGTTCGTTAAAATTTAAGTTGCATTTTGAAGCTTTATTCGTCATTTTAGAAGACTTATTCGTTAAGGTTTCAGTTGCAATTTGAGGCCTTATTCGTTAAAATTTAAGTTGCATTTTAGGGCTTTTATACATCGATTTGGGCACTTACAAGTGCTGATTTTTGGAGGCTTTTAAGCACCTTTTGGGACTGATTCGATCATTGTTTTGAAATAACTTAAACGCCTTTAGACCGATTCACTTGCAGTTTAGCCCCTTGCTTAGCTGATTATTCTTTTTTTAAGTGGGTCGGCCTCCTTCTCCGTTGGTTTGTTTTTATAACGGTTAAATTAAAAATGAAAATTACTGATTCAATTATTTTCAGGATTGATTCATGCCTTTAAAAAAAAAGAAAAAAGAAGGGAATTAAAAATTAAAAAATGATAATTAGTCTATTGAGATGATTGAAACCCAAGAGAAAATATGGTAGCAAACCATTCATTTTTTTTACATAAGAATAAAATTGTAATTATGAGAATTATTGAGAATTGGGAGAAAGTAAAAGCTTAAATGATTCAAGAGTTAGGGGTATGAATTGAGATATCAGTAAGCTATCAATTAAAACCCCTAAGCATTAGATAGACTTAAGCCCAATTGTTTTAATTAGGATTGAAGCACATTTCACGAACATTTTTGCCAAAAATTATAGGTTTACCCTAGCCCAATTGTTTTAATTAGGATTGAAGCACATTTCGCGAACATTTTTGCCAAAAATTATAGGTTTACCCCTTAGGTCTTAAGAGTCTGATGGTGAGCTAAGTTTAATCTAAAGATGTTCGAGGATTACTTGAAAAACACTTAATTGAAGACAAAACACTTTAAAACACTTCAAGCTCAAATTAAAGTGTCAGCTTCCTAGATTTTAGGAGCACAACTTAGGTGAGAGTCATCTACCCAATTTTCAAATGAATACTGAAGCTAAACACCTGACCCAAATTTATAAGTCAGTTAAAACAATAAACAAGATATGCACCAGGCTGTGGTTCATGACTGACTTAATTAAATAAAAAAAAGGCTGTGGTTCATGACTGACTTAATTAAATAAAAAAAGTGAAATTCTCTCCATAACTTGACCTAAAATGAAACTCAATGCTCCGAAATTTGAGCTTGAATCTTATATTCAAATTCTCCTAGCAATTGGGGACATTCCCAACTTCACATATAAATCACATACTCTTGGTCTTTTATACATGACGTTGTGTTTTGTTTAATTTGTTTGTGTTTTTTTTTCTACGATTTGTTTCGAGTCTCTGTGAGTCATTTTCAGTTTTCTTCAGAACTTTCCATATACTATTCCGTCATTTTTTTTTGTTATATCTAAACACATGTTTGTCCTGCTAGCTGAATTTCTCTACTATACTGTTACCTGCGACGCTGATCTCATTTACAAGTGCAGCAATAATAAGAAACTCAGGTACCCAAAATTTACAGCGCTTTTATAGCACTTTACTGCATTTCCTTTATTGCTCTTTATGTCTTTCCTTCATCTATTTTCATTTACCACATTTCCATATAACATAGTTTATTTATGCATGTTTTAAGTTAACTACAAAACCTTTAGGATATAGCCTGGTTTAAGAGATATACAACAGTAAGTTACCAAATAACAATATTGCACACTCACATATAAGACACTAAACCTAAAACGGTTACTATATGGAGCATGAAACAACCCTTCGTGGGCAGCATGATCAGGACGTAGCGGACGGGAGATGACGATCTACAGCAGTACAATAAGTCTACGACAACCAAACATTTTTCTTAGTTTAAATAACAACTCATAGGACTTTGAAGTAGTTTGCTTAGCGCAACGTATGTCCTCACATTATCTTTCGGTTTTTGCACAACCCTATAGTGTAATTATAAGTCATAATACTTACAACAAGTCTACGACAACCAAACATTTTCCTTAGTTTAAATAACAACCCATATAACTTTGAGGTGGTTTGTTTAGCGCAACGTAAATCCTCACATTATCTTTAGGCTTTTGCACAACCCTGTTGTGCAATTATAAATCTTAATACTTTTAGGATTCTGAAGTTATCGTACGATACGGTGTAAATCCTCCTATCTTTCTAGGTTATTTGCACGATCAGATATCGTGTGAATGTAATTCTTAAATTCTAAAATAAATTTCAGGATTAAACATTGAATAATATCATTTCAAAGACATAAAGTCAAACAACATGATATTTGAGAGGTCACCGAGGTTTTCCTCAGATTCGTGATATCTCCTACTCTTCGTTTTTTTGGATTCCTTAAAATAATTGTTCCTATTTGAACCACTCATATTTGACTTTCTCGTGTCCAATCTTGAAAACTTAAAGTTTAAAATCTTGAAGGTAGAATCATTGATCTTAATCGAGAGTTTTCTTAAGTGACCCCGGTTATTTAAGATGTAATTAACTGTAGGGATTTACCTTTATAGGGAACTTGGAACCTAGGTAAAATACGCCTTATTTAATACTTATATTAGGTAGGGGAACTGGTTGGCGTCATATAAAAGGTTTCACAGGCTAAACGAATGCCACAAAAATTCTTTGGTTTGGGTGGTTGAACCTACTACAAGTGATATGTTTATCCTTCGAGATAGTGTATTATTTGTGGTATCGCATTCAGTCGTTCAAACTATTCAATATGTGAGACTAGTTTGGTCTCATATATTTTCAAAATTAAAATATTACTTTCAAAAATAAAAAATCATATATTTAAATTAAAACTATTTTCATATTTACAAAAATCATCATTTTCCAAAATAAGGGCCGACAAATGAATATAAAAACATAAATAAAAAATATAACATAATAATTTAAAATAAATTTGATATAAATAATCTCTTTTCCAATCCCTACTTAATAAAACAATAATATAACAAATCACTAAAGTTAGAATTTTTAAATTCAAAAGTAGTCGTCACTCTTATTATTCAATGGGCATTCGTTTGAATCATTGACAAAACAATTTGCTTCATCTCTCATTTTATCTTGAATTATGTACATGTTCTCTCATTCCTCCTCATCTTAAATCTACATCTTTCTTTATTTAATCAATATTAATATTTATTAGATTTTAAAACAATGATTAGGTTGATAGAACAACTTCAATTACATCCTCATTATTATATTAAATAGGTAAGCAATAAATAGTTATTAGTGTTATTTTAGTAATGTTTATTTTAAAAAAAATCAAAATATAATTACATGCCTCATCAAAATTAGAGTGAGATAAACCTGGAAACATGCCTCATATTATGTGAGGTGTAAACCTCACCATGAATTTTTATTTTTCAAAAAAGCTTCGAAACAAGACTTATATTGTGCAATTTTAAACCGTGATAAGGACTATATCCACATTGGATTTATGAATGCCCCACTGCTAAAGCCAGCATCCACGCAACGCCACAATTGCATGGACCACCCTCTTTCCCACTCTCATGTGCTCTAAAATATCTCCCCACGCCTATCTCATACATCACTTGACTACTCTCTATCATTCTCGCTTCTTGACTCTGCTACCGACACTTTATCCTTATCAAGAAGCTAATCCTATCATGCTTTTATGCCTATTAAGCTCCTAGCCATGCACATATAGCCTCTCTATCCAATGCACTATATTCCCAACACATTCATATGACCCCTTTAACATTCATTCACTCCCCAACACCTAATCCTCTCCACAGTGCCTAAGCTAGTGCTGAGTGATGGTGGAGATTGAAACTTGATGGTGTCCCCTTGGGGATGTGATAGAAAAGTGGCTAGTGGAAAAAATGGTTAAGTGATGGTTTTGAAAATGTTGAGGCTAAGACTTTGAAAGAGTAAATTTTCTTGGAGAGAAATAGATAGAAATTCCAGATCATGGGTTTTGGATGCTAGAGAACTAATGGTAGTGTTTTTAAGAATGTTTGATCAATGGTTAATATAGGTTATAAGTTTTTAATCTTGCTACACATAGCAGAAAATTATCTGTATTGGGTTTTTTTTTTCTAGAATATCTTAAGATTACTCGGGAGTTAAGGGCCTTTGAAAGATATATGAAGAGTTTTGAAAAGGTTGGAAAGAAATTTCCATAAATTAGTTTGGTTGAGCCTTATACGGAGAATGGGGAAGTTGTACGGGGAGAGAATAATTAGACGGGAAAAAAAACTATGGGACTCACCAAGGCCCAAGGAGATCAGCCACCAAACTTCAACAAAAAAGCATAATAGCCACTAAACCTTTTCACACATAATTTAATAAAGAAAAATATATTTTTTATTCAATAAAATCAAAAGGGCAAAGTGAACTCCTATTTATGGGATGTTTGCAAGCCTCGCCAAGTTTCGAAAATCTTAGGAACCAATAAACTGCTATAACATAAATTGATAACTTGTCCTATAATAAATAAATAAATAAATAAATACTACAAAATTTAAAGCTTCCAATGAAAATTCAACAATACTAATAAGGCAAATGTAGTGATTTTGAAATCAAGTAATCCTTAAAGAAGTTCCACTTTTCGATTTGTGTGATCAACGTACCCGTCAAGGAACCTCAAATGAAGCTTCTAATTAAAACCTAAATATTAAACCTGACCCTAAACATAAGCCAAAGCAAGCCCCTAAATGAAGAGTGCACTCCTGAAAGCAAGAAGGGCGATAAGCTTGTTCTATAAAAAAAAATTAGGAACCAATAAACTGCTATAACATAAATTGATAACTTGTCCTATAAAAAATTAAAAAAAAATATTACAAAATTTAAAGCTTCCGATGAAAATTCAACAATACTAACAAGGCAAATGTAGTGATTTTGAAATCAAGTAATCCTTAAAGAAGTTCAACTCTTTGATTATGGTAATCTACGTACCCGTCAAGGAACCTCAAATGAAGCTTCTAATTTAAACCTAAATATTAAACCAGACACTAAAAATAATCCAAGGCAACCCCTAAATGAAGAGTGCACTCCCGAAAGCAAGAAGGGTGATAAACTATAGGGGTTTGCAGTCATAGGAAGCTTCGACCACAAATTTAAACAAACACCAATCCGATATCGGGGGTAATACAATTAAAATAAATTTAATAAACCTCAAATGAAATTGCTCCTAGTTTGTCTCTTACAAATTGGCGATGCTCAAAGAAAGGGGGCTTTAATAAGAAATCTAAAATAAACTAACCAACCTAAATTTTCCAAATGGCCGCTGTCCAATAACATGTAAGATCACTTACAGATAAAGCCAAAAAACATGTTTAATTTGAGTAAATAGAGATGCCTTAAAAAATCAGCAGCATAAAAATTAAATACCGCATAAACTTACAGCTAATAACAGAAAAAAAAACATTGTCTCACCAGAGAGATCTTCAAAGCTTGCAATACTGTCACCTGTTTCGAACATACGTCATGATTATTCATAATATAATCAAGAAACTCTTGAGCCTTGCCTTCTACAGATGCCTGACATCAAAACATATCTATCCAGCGTTAAAAATGAAAATCAAGGACCTACAAAACACCAAGTTCTTCCAATAGTTCACTACAAAAAACAATGTTCAAAAAGAACTCAAAGATCTCTTACACAATCTAATGTCTAGAATTAATCAAGTCCCAACATTTAATAAGCATAATGCATGCACTACAAAATTAAAGTATATTTTGATATCACGCATTGCATTATGTGTGAAAGGAGAACATGAACTAGTACTGCTCTTTAACCGCTTTGAATTTCTCCATGAAACATAAACAAACTCAATACTTTATGTTAAAAGTGTCAACAGAATACGCCATAAAAAGCATAAAGGTTTCCTTCTATGTTCAAGGAGAAAGCACAGCATTACATGTGACCAAACGGTAAACCAGAAATGCTTCATGCACAAAATGTCAGATATTTTTTTCCCGCAATAATTTACCATTCCCAATGTATATCATGTAAAACTATCAATTGATCATGCAGAATTTCAGTTCTTACGTTTCACAAACAGTTAAAAATGAGCCACAGTAGAAATTTGAAAGGAATACAACTCTGATGCTACAAAAATAATCCCAAAAAGTAGACTAGAGATCAAAATCAGTTTGGCCTGGAGCAAAATGCTTGAATGAGACAACAACTGAATCTTTTGAGATAGGCCATCATCAATAAGTCAAGGGAGATATTGATAAATTCCATATATAAAGCTACGGCACCATATAGTTGATTGGTGTCATCCACTAAAAGTTAGAGTGCTTCTTCTTGAGAAGTTGCTGCCATTGCTTGCTTGGCTTCGTCTACTTTTGAGATGGATTTTGTGACCATCTCATCACACATTTTTTTTCTCTATTTTCTTAAGTTTTAAGTTTTCCATCTCCCACTTATGAACCTTTTTTTTTCATTTTATATCATTGAATTGCCACTCACTCAAAGGCATCGAAAAATTTCTTCTTGAACATTCATGTTTGAAAAATGTTTTGACTAGGGCTATAAATGATCAACGCACTTGATGAACAACTTAACATCGGCTCAATCAATTCTTGATCATGATTGTTCAAATTAACAAATAAACAAGTTTAAACATTTTTTTAAAACCCGAAGGTTAAATGAACTAAATTTGAACATTGTCCAACTCGTTTATTAATGTTCACGAACAAGTTCATTTGATGTTCAACAAGTAACTAATTAAATGTTCTATCAAAAATAACTTATTAAAGATTCAATACTTAAATGACATATTCTATAAATAAAATTCAATTGACTATAACTTATTTAAAAATATATTTAATAATAATATATTATAATTTAATTTAATCTCTATATAAATTTAATGTAATTTTTTTTTTATGAACTAGTTTATTAGTACTTATTTATACTATTTCATTGCAATAAAGATTACCAATAACTTAAATGTTATTTTATTTAGTTGATATACAATTGTTAGATGTTAAATTAAATTTTACTTAACTGATATTAGATTGTAAAATCATTTACTTTTAACTTTATATAAGAAAATCAATTACTCCTTTGAGATTTTAGCTTATTAACTAGTTTCCTATAAAAAAATTAAGTACAAGTTGAATTTTTAATTTTATATAAAAATCATATACATTCAAATTTTTAAGTTGTTCAATTAATATAAAAAAAAATCAAATACAAATCAAGTAACAACGAGTATTTATCCCACAAAGTAGGGTCAGCAATGTGAATCATTTTTTTCATTGTGTTATATTGAGTATCATATTACACAGCAAGTATTATATATATATATGTAAAAGCTCAGCTCAGCTCAAACTCAAACTCAAACTCAACATGAAAAAATTATGATGTTCCTTAGTTTTGACAGAATTATTGTTTAAGTTCAACATACCACTTAATGGTTACATACTTCAAAGGTTATTGATAAATAGACGAATGAAGCAGGATTTCATTTCCTCTGATGTTGTCGTAGGCACCTTTATCTAGGAATGCATGTCCCGTTGGATTTATTAAAATTTTGAATTAAGTAAACCTTTGAGGTACTTAACCTAATCATTGTCTAACAGATGAGAGCACCATTAATGATGAAAAGATTAAGCAAGTATATAGTGATGGCTTCCAAGGTAGATGACTAAAGAACTATTAGGCATTGCCCTTTATTTGTTCTCCATTTGGCTACTAGTATCTAGGCATTGCCCTTTATTTGTTCTCCAAAATTTGTTCAACCATTCCCTTTATTTGTTCTCCATTTGGCTACTAGTATCTAGAGTCTCCAAAATTTGTTCAACCTGGGTGCCAGCGATCATTATAACTGTCATAACAAGTTCAAAATTAGCAGCTGTAATCTTGTAATTTTATGAATGTAATAGTGTTCGTCATAATTGCACATGAAACCATAATTACAAGTCAGAATAGAGATATAAAAAAGATGTTATTCATTTTTCTTAATTTGCCAACTCAGCTTTGCAGTTTCAAGCACACAAAAAAAGAAGCACTTTGTGAGATGCAGCATAAAAAGAATGATGTTCTTAAATGCGTACCGGTAAGCCAAGAATGTCACAGAGTTTTGATAACTCTGGTCTAAGTAATCTAAGAAGACTTCTCTGTTCTTCAAGCTTTGGTTCCCTCTCTTCAGATTCAACAATATGAGATTTCTGGGCGTCTGATGTATCAGTAGAATTGTGAAATCCATCTGCATTATGAATAATTCAAGTAATATGTATTAACAGATATGCCAAATGAGGCTGTCATTAAAAGAAAACACAAATCAAACAACAACAAATAATTGTTTCCTCTTGCAATCTCAATCAATTGTCTTGAGCTAGATGAAAAGGATGAAGCAACAATTTATAAAGTACTGTTTTGGGCTGCAAGAAGCTCAAGCACAGCGTTAAAAATTCAGATTAAGAAGCTACATATACAATCAAACAATGACAATACCTTTGGATGAAACACTCTTCTGAGAAAATTCTGATGATGTGACTGGATCCACAATGTTGATTTTACGACGCTTCTTCATTTCACTGTCGGTCTCATTCCTCTTTATAAATCCATCAAAATTGTGAACCTTCCTGCGAATCCTTTGTGTACGGTCACATATGTGTATCCATCGACGATATCTAGCTTCCAACAACCCTGACCAGAAACAGGGCATATCTTTATCAGGTAAGGAGTTCGCTTCCTTCTCACCAACCAAGATAATATTTCCAGTGTATCCTGCGCCACTTTGTTGTGCCTTCATGACAATCGAGCGAGGGACAATTCTGGAGATTTCAACTATTTCAGGGAACTCAGATAGTATTTCCAAAATAACATCATTCAAACGTAGCTTGTCAAATGAAGGTTCAGAAATACAAGCTGTGGTGGAGCTCGAGTGGAACTGATCAAGTTTCCGAAATAGATAAGAGGCGCCCCAACCAAGCAATGACTGTGTAATATTTCGACTTATGCTTTCAACATTACTATCAATAAAAGTACTTTGTTTTGCAAACATAAGAAGTCTCTCTTCCACTGTAAAAGCTGTATAAAGACGAAATACCTTGATGCAATTATGTTGTGATTCTATACTTATTTTCTGCAGAGATCTTAGATCATTCAATGGATTCCAGTCACTATCAAATAAGATGACGGCATCAACAAAATGGAGCTTAACACTAGGTAGGCACGCACGCTTTTCGATCAGAAATACAAATCTACCACTTTCCTTGTTGTTAAACATTTTTAGAGCAGCCACCTTCTTCGCCATAACCAGTCCAGTTTCAATACGCTCATATGAATCTACACCAAATCTTTGTTGAAGAAAATCATCTAAAATATCACCGAGAGAAAATTTTCCAGGGCCACCTAGAGACTTATCATAAAAAAAGATTGTTAGTCAGACCTGTTTAAAGGAAAAGAAGCACATCTATGACGATTTTGCATATAACCCCACCAGAAATGAGCAAGATGACTCAATTAGGTTAGCAATCCCAAGCAACGCATGGGAGAATAATTCTACATATTGAGTCTTTTATAGCAATCTCAAAATAGACTGATAATAATTTGAAATATTAGATGCTATATTGAAAGGGGTTAATTTTAGAAGGGAATAATTGATAAAAGGTTTTCTCCTCATTGAAAGGAAAAGTATAAAGAAAATGAGAAAACACTATAATTAGATAAGTACATGAAATGCAAAGTATATTAGATAGAAATGACAAAGGAAAAATAATAATAACTAGTTGTGACAAAAATCACCATACATGCTCAAGTTAGCTAATCTATGAAGTTATTTTCCAAGTATAAAGAAAATGAGAAATGATGGAAAAGTGTAAACCTCATTCTGAAGTAATATATGATCTTGCAACAACTAATACATAACACAAGGAATGAGAAAAGCATATATTGGCGTTAAAAAATTAAGATAACTAAATAACAAATAGGCTTGTCTTTTACTAAAGGAAAAAAAAATAGAACCTTTTTGTGAGAATCTTATAAGATGATTGCAGAAATAAATTTGACAACCCACGTAAAATACTAGCTACGAATAAAATCTTAAAAGTATTTAATAAAGAAACAAAAGAAAACAGTATTGGGCATAAAATGTTACACTCAAATGGTTGAAATATCTCAGCATAAGCTAAAAAAGACACTGAGATGCACAGTGACTAAACATTATGCGGGATAGAGCACCATATTAAAAAGATTTCATATAAGCTTTAGAAGATTTTTCAAACATATTGTACATAAGAAAATCTGTTGGTAGTAGACAAGCGCATCGAAGATCTGCAAAAAGCTTATAAAGAGAAAAAAGGGTAGTATATTATAAATGTTGACGGACTTTAAGTGTCTTAATCTCGAAATCCACACTAATTTTCTCTAATTATTTTGTTATTATTAGGTTTTTATTGAAGTATTGTATGATTACATTTAAAAGATTAATTGTTTGATGCATATGATATGTAAATTTAATAGTTGCATTAGGAAACCTAACTCTGAGTCATCCTGCAACAAGTTTATCCTCATCTTTAGAGAAGGTCAGAGGGCAGAGGTTTCGCATCTTGTACCATGAAATACAGGAAATGTAAGGCATGCTTAGTCTAGTAAAATGGTTCATCAATCTACCTCTTGGCCCACTAGAAAAGGAATTGTGAGTACTTGTGCTTAGCAATTGAAGCGATAGATTAGCGAGAAACTTTCAAAGAATGAGTTTAGAGAACAGACGTAGATTTGGTTATGTCTTGATATCGTATTTCTCTAATATTTAGCCCTGTTCTCCTTACTATTGTGTAAATATTACTTACATTCCTTGCTTGTCAAGTAATCAACATTATTTATAGCATTAATTCTTGTGCCAAATTGAATTCCCATTAAATTATTGTATATTTGATATCATCTAAAGTTTATTTGGAATTATTACTTGAATCGATATCCATACACACTAAGAGACCGATAGATATCCGAACAAACCTATTTTAGCTCTTTATTTGTTATACACTTTGCTCATGAAACATATAATTGTTTATATTATCCATATTGTTATAGACTTAAAGGTGCATGAGCCTATGCATAACCTTGAATAAATCTCAATTTATTTTTGTAACGCTCTATTCAACCCAGCCCAATCCAACCCAACACATCCACACACACTTTGCTATGTGAAGCCAAGATCAATGTATTTGAGCTTGTCTCTCACCATAAGCAATTTTTTGGCATTTACTGTTTTATTGGTTCTTTGCACTTAATAAGTATTAAAAATATTAAAAAAGAAAGATAGACATGTTTGACAAGTTTAAGCGGCATTCGACACTTCATGATGAATAAATAGAACATTAACGAATAAAAGGTGTGAATAACAAACAATAAGATAAAATAATTTTTTAGGTACCTGAAAAAGAATGACCACCCTTAATCCACGACTCTTCATCTCCTGAAGAACCTTATCTAGCAGGAACAATTTACCACTTGCACGCACTTCAGCATTTAGAAATTCAGCACTTTGGAGTCCTTTAATTAGCAAACACCGTAGTTCTCCGTCAACAAGATAGGGATGATCACAGCACTAATATGAAGAAATGTTGAACATGTAAAGATATATATTGAGCAGATTGATAGGTAAGCATCTACAGACTTAACAAAATAAGCACTGCAAAATGTCATAATGGAAACATACACGCAGGGCTTAGCACCATTCATTAAAAACCAACCTTTCGGGTAGCAACGAGAATACTGTGAAGAGCTCCTACAACATCAGATTTTGACATTGAACGAAGAACATTAGAATTTGAAAGAAGAGTTGCACAATATTGCTCCAATTGAACGTTAGAAAATGGAACAGGGACCCAGTACTCCACAAAGCTAGATGAGTCAGGTTTTCGTTCATAAACAATATGATGTGCCAACTTCTCTTTCACAGCAGCAAGTGCACCAGGAGCTTCATTATCATCAGCCTTCAGGGCAGCCAAATCATCATCAACTGTTCCCCCTTTGAGGAGGAAGGAAAGCAAGATACGGTAATCAGAAAGGTTATCCTGGAGAATTCAAAAAACAAATTAACCAAAAGTAAAACAATGGGAATACATCAATTACTAAAGGAAGTAATTACCTTCATTTGAAGGTTAAAAGGAAGAAGTTTAAAATCCGCATTCAGACTTTTTAGTTGTTCAAGATATCTAAACATCTTCGAATTCTGACATTTATCAATGATCACAACATCCCAGTCAATGCAATTTATATCTTCAAAGTCCTAAAAAGCAAAATGAAATTATTAAAAACGACAAAAAGTACACAGCATAAATGATAAAAAGGATTGGACGCAGACAAGCCGGGCAAAGGCAAAATTAAAATAGTTAAGAAAACAAAAAGTCCCAAAGGAAGGCAAACGTAGCTAAAGAATTTCAATTCGAACCATCTACTAGTTCAGGGCATAAAAAAAACAGAATTTGAGTACAATAGTTTTACAGATGCACTACTCATATATGAAAATGAAAAAAGACATTCAAGCAAAAACATAAGGGCAGGTGAATACAGAAGCATTTAATTACTATTCAAGCAGAAAGTAGGTGGGTAAGAACACAGAATAAAACTAGTGAAACACGTACTTCAATAATAGCCTCATGATCTGCCAAAAGCACCTGAAACATTAAGCAACCACTTTCCTCATAAAATTCAACATTCCTAATCATCTTCCGAACATCTTTGTCGCCCCCATACATTATTACATTAAGTGATGGTGCCAAACGACGAAACTCAGCTTGCCATAGTGGAAGAGAACCTGATGTTGCGATAACAAGAGAAGGTTGGCATGCAAAGCATTGCAAAGAAAGAACAAATAAGATTGATTTTGTGAAACGTTCCTGCAGAAAACATCATTGCATAAATGAAAAGGCATAAATTTTAATTTAACAGCTACATGAAGCTACGTAGGAAAAGGTGATGGGAGGGAGTAACATCAGTTAGCAATCTAGTCAGGAGTAGCATAACTCAAATGTATGATATATCACTAGCATAATGAATTTATAAAATGCAGATTGAAAATTCATCTTTGTCTCTGGAAGAACTGAAATTTCATTGGACATACATGAGGCATAAAAGTCCGAAACCTTTCAAAGGCCAAATAAACATCCTTCGTGCCACCACTTGGCCTGCTAATATTTCTTGTATATTTCGTTGTTAAAAATAAAAAGGCCAGCTCTAACAAGATCGAATAACAGACCAAGCATTTAAAAAGGTTGCAATGTACACTTACAATAAAACATGAAATTAGAAGATGTTTTAAATAAATATATGGTCCATTGTGTTAGAGTGATCACCTGTGTCATGTTTGCACATTTTCAGAACTTTCTATGTAAATACAAGGAAAACAGCCTGATCAATCAATAATTCAATAAATGAGGCAGTTTAAACCAGCCTTGTTAAGGTCATTGAAATGCACATTTTATACAAGAAGAACAATGAAAAAATCTTGGCTTTTCCTGAGCGATTGTAAAATAGCCCAAATGTTCAATAAATGTTCAAGGTTTCAAATCAGTAAACTGAAATCAATAAATTCTTGCTTGGCATTTATGCAGCAAATCCTCATAAATGATTTACTCTGCTTGGGAAATCTAGACAACTAAAAATAGTCCAACAGCACATTTTCCTCTTACTCCATATCTTCCAATTTAAGTGAAAGATTGAAATTCGTAGAAAATAATAAACCACAAAATGCGCCTTGAATTCAACATTGTGAAACATGAATTAGATTATGGTTCATGAAAATGTTAGCAAGTAACATAGAAGCATGAATATCCCAATCCCTTGAAGCAAAAATAAAATGAATAAACTTTATGATAGAAGTCAAACTGACAGCAAAGTTAAAAAAAAAAAAAAAGCTTTTCAAATGGAACTTATAGAAAGTCTTGTGTCTCCATGAACAATAAAAAATTTAAAAAGGAGTCATGATGGATAATCAAGTTTGGCAGATCACTCTTTCAGACCTCTCTATCATATAAGAAAGAGAACATATAAAATTCTAACTAAGAATTGACACACATGTACCTGATCATCAATAAGCACAGCATTTACAGACTTGTGCCAAAATTCTCGAAGGCGGTTAAGTGAGCCTAACAGATCACTACCAAGTTCAGTAGGACACCCCTCAGGCAGCTCAGTTAGTCGGTAAAAAGGATCTTTCTTTACCTTTAGAACCTGTACAAGAGATTTTAGCTATAGTCAGTTAGCACCACAAGAAAGAAGACAAAACATGCAACACATTAAGTCTATGTACATTCAACATAACAAAACACAAGAAATATGGATTCTGCAAAATTATTATGCTACATCCAACAAGGAAACATCCAAATTCAGCCCATATTACATTCAATCTGATTATAACAAAGATATTAAATGTTCCAAATTCGAAAGACACAAGCAAGAATAACTGAAATTATCACCAAATAACATAAAATGAAGGCCTAACAAGATTGCAAATAAAAACAAATGTAAAGTGTAGGTGATACCGGAGCTAACCTAAAAAACAATAAAAATAGAACTATTATTGCTGAAATTCAAAAAGGTTACAACAAGACTCATCAAAACAGGAAATAAACAACAAACACATACATACAAAACCCTAGTAGCAGGACGAGGGTGGTTGCCAACAGCTGAACAGCATGTGGGACTCTGGTTTGGGCAGCAAGGAGAGAAACAGCCTGTTGGACAGGAAATAAAGGCGGGTTTTTTGCCGCGGCAGATGAGGGAGGGGGGGGGGGGGGGGTGGATGGAATGAAGGGGTTGCGGTGGTTGGTTTTGGGGGCGGTGCGGGGAGGATTCTCACCACAGCAGAATGGTTTCCCTAGGTTGTGGGGTAAAGACTTGTTCAGCCCCCTCTCACAACTGAACTAGTTCGGGCGAAACAGGTTCAGCTTTTGGAGGAAAACACTCGTGTCAACAGGTTTTTGCATCAAGGAAACATCAAAGTCAGAATTTAATATGTTAAAAAAAAATTATTTGACACTTAAATGAATAAGAAACACAAATATAAGTCATCCTTCCAACTCATACTGGGCATAACATTCTGTGCAAATGTACTCAAATATTTCTGAGCTTTAAATTATAGATAAATAACCAACCACCACTTGGAATAAAACCATATATTGGATAATCAAAAGAATCTTGCAGTACTAACTAATGGCTTTTTTCATCTAAAGCAAGATAAAGCAGCGAGGGCAAAAACCCTAATAAGCCAATGATTCAACAAAAGCTTGAGACAACTAGCTGGTCCCACAGGTCTAAACACAAACAGCCAACCTCCCAATGAAATTCAATGAAATTTGAATGCTATTTTAACCGAGGAAAAATAAGATAAGTACTCGTCTATTAAAACTCATTAAGATGTTTTTATTCATAAAATCTAAGGGCAGAGACCCTGCACATTTCATTAAAAAAAAATAAAGAACAAGCTATACATATAAGGTTTAAGAACAAAACATAGTGAATACTACATGGTCATTTGAAAAACAAAATTTATAAAGTTTTCAAAAATAACTCTTGGAAGACAATGGTAAACTGAAGTTTGCAATTAATTTAGAGAATTTAAATGAGTGTTTTCCCTTAAATTTCTGCTCCAAAAAAGGAGGGTCAAATAAGCAATGTTTCAAAGAACCTTCACAACTGCAATCTTATCCTTGAAGCATCTGAAAATTCATTTCCTTCCAAATAATCCAAATTGCAACAACAACAAAAAAAAAGTTCAAAAAATGTCTGATTACCCATTGACAAAAGCAATACTCCAAGAAAAAACTATTAGGCATGTTACTGATGTTATTTAGTAATACCAAAGATATGCTACAGTCAATCCCAACTGCCACCAGTCATCTTCAAAGTTAACTCTATAACTACTGCAGGGATGCCAGAAGTGACAAGCGCCGTCAAAAAAGTTCGTCGTTTGCGAACAACTCGTGTTCGGCTCATTCTTTAAGTGAATGGGTCGAACAAGGCCAACCCTTTGTTAGCTCATGTTCAGCTCGTGCGGTCATGGGATTCCACGTCTTCTATTGCACAGAGTTGGTGCAGGTTCGAATCCAACACCCTACATCTATTATTTCCAATTAATTTTAACAAGCCAATTTCAAGCCAAACACGAACAAGAATATATAAATCAAGCCGAGCAAAAACACACTATTCACGAGCTAACTTTGAACACGAGCCGATTTTGAACATGGCAATTTCGAACGAGCCAAACACGGGCCAAGCCTAAGCATGCTAAAACTCGGCTCGTTGACAGCCCTAGAAGTGACATTGGGGGTTTGGGGGATTTTATTTGGGATCTTCCTTTGGTAGATCATCAAAACTAAGAGAAAAAAATTTAGAGGTGCAATAGATTTCAAAATTGAATTAATGCACATGGTAACATTGTAGCCATTAAAGAGGAAAAAAACATAGAGATCCAGACTTTAAGAGTGTAGTTATTGAGCATACAGACTTTCATTGTATAAGCAAACCCGTTTTAGAAATGAATTGAGAGCTAACAAAACAGTTGAGATTCCAGGAAAATAGAAAAAGATCAAACAAGATTATCAACAAAAGATAATTCAACAAGCATTTATCTTTCAATTCCAAGAAATATTTGAGAAGAACAACTAAAAATACTTATTGACTCCTTTAATGAAAGAGACAAAAAATAAGAATTACTATAAAAATTCTAAGAGCAGCAATTGCTGAACTACTTCCCTTGATTGATTTTGCCAGCAAATAATATGTTCTCATTTTGAATGGATTCCTAGAACCATTTGCCAAAAAAGAGAATTTTAAATAACCTAACGATTCAAGACACTAAGGCAACAAAGATTCTTGGGACAACAAAGGGATTTTCAATTGTTAAGATGAAAAATCTTACTTATATCAGTACAATGCCAAACAAGATGAAAACTCTTACTTATATCAATACAATGCCAAACGAATAAATTTTTAATTGAGTCAATTTTTTAGATACCCTCTTGGGTGTACATAAATAAGCAACTGTGTGGGAAACAAGTTAGATAGAGTTGGTAAGTCTTCCATCTTGAGAGAGATACTTTCCTTTCCGACAAGCTAACTTTTGGTTTTAATTCTTTAAATGGCAGGCTGCCTCAGTACCTTTTGACTCCTTTTTCAGCCAAGATAAATATCAAGGTAATTGAAAGGAATAAAGTAACAACCAATCAAATTTGCTACCAATTAATAGGTATCCCTAGGTAGATAAAAGAAGATTTATAATTTAGGCCAGAGACAAAATCGAAAATTTGCAAAGTATTCGTAAGATTCCTACCTTGTTCAATATCCCACAAACGATGAAACCATGTGAGAGATATTTCCTAATATTCCATGACCGTCTAATTTTCCATATCTAGCACTCATACCAGCCCTTCTTAATTTGGTGTCCCTTTAATACTCCCCTAAAAATTGATGATCAAGATCTACCATTCCAAATTTATTTTTAATAATTTCAATGTGGGGTTGCCATGCCTTTTGATAAATGCATCAATAATTTGTCTTCTTATTAGGACATATGGAGCGCAACTCAATTCACTTTTTTCTATTTCTTTGAATATTTATCCACTTCAACTTTTTTAGTACGATGACAGATTTATTGTCATAGTACCTTCAAAGGTTCGTCCCATTTGATTTTTAATTACCAAAAATAATATTAATCCATATAAGTTTATAAATCCCTTGATTAATTGCTCTAAAACTTACAACTATCGAGGGTACTCTATTGATTAGGCATGCAAAAATCAGAGTTACTTCTCTCCAATATATTTTTGAAATTTAAATTGAAAAAGATAAGTCCTCATGACTTCCAGCCGATTTTGCTATTTCCTTTATATCATCCTTGGGAGGTGTCAGAACAAGAGAATTAATGAATAATACCCACTCTATTGAAAAAATAAAAAATAAAAAAAATATAAAGCCTAATTAAAATAATCACGAGCAATAGCAATAAAGAATAATAACTTGATATTTAACATTAAATTATTTTTTAATCATAGCCATAAAAATAAAAAGAAATGTGCTAACATCAATTTTTTGTTTCATAAAGTATACCCATGTAATTTGATTGCAATCATCAATATGTGTGACAATTCCAATAGTAAGCAAAATTTAATGCCAATATCGGAGTGAACTAATCTAAAAGTAGAGGATCTAGGATCATTTTTAGAGAAAAAAATACTATAATATTATGCATTTCACAAATCTCACAATTAAATTATTTAATATTAATACAAATAAAAAGGCAAGAAAACATACAATGTTAGATTTTCAAAAAGGGATGCCCAAGCTTAAAATGATGTTCTTAAATATTTTTGCATTGACAATAGAGATGAAAGAACGCTAAGAAGTTCTATCTTTAAGAAAGTATATATCATCCTTTCTAAAGCATGCTTAATCGTTTTTTCCATGGTAAGGCCTTGAAATATATAATAATTAATGAAAAGAAATTACTTTATAGTTAAGTAATTTAGTAATTTGATGGATTAATAGAAGACTTATTGTAATATGAGAGACATAATGAACATTATTGAGGACAAAGATGAGAGAAATAAAATTTCCCCTGGACCTATCATAGTCGTTGAAGAACGATTGACCACTTTCTATTATTGGAGCAAAATTGGTGGGTTTAAAAAATTTAAGAATGGTTTGACATGTGGTTACTGATTCTTGAAAGTTTCTAAGTGCGTTTATTTCTTCCAAATTAAGATCCCTTCTAATCCAACAAGGCAAGCTTGGCCTTTTAAAAAGCTTTGTTTTCGCAATAACTTTGGGGCTTACCATAAAGTCTTCAATATTTTTCTTTTGTTCTGTTATTTTATAAGCAAAAATTACACCATAGATTAACACTGATAGAAGTTATTTTTGCTTTTTTTTTTATTTTAGTCGTCATTATATCTTTTTTCTTAAGGTTCGGTATTTCATAATCAATAAATCAAGGATAGCATTATCCAATTTTACCATTCTTATTTATTCTTTGACTCATATGAGTGGTAAAACTTCAGTTAAAATGATAAGTTCTCCTTGCTTGAAATATAAACGTGAACTTGATTGAATTTATTATTGAATCTACAAAAGACTAAAAAATCTTTTATTTTTATAAATTATTTGAGAATAGCTATATTCTCACTACACTTTATCCTGAGATCATTAATCAAATTCAGGCCAATAAGCCTTAT